TTGATTGATTTTTGAGAAAACAAAATATTATCTTTAATTATTCTGTTGTATTTATAAAAATATTTTTCGTAAACAATTAATAAACATATTTTTGAGTAAAATAAAATATTATTTTTAATTATTATGTCGTATTTATAAAAATATTTTTAATAAATAATTAATAAAAATATTTTCTAATAAAAGTAGTAAACATTAGTAAAGTGTTATATATTTGTTATGAATTTGAGAAAAATAAAATATTATTTTTTAATTTTTCAGTTATTTTTATAAGAATTTTGTTTTATAAATAATCAATAAAAATATTTTTTTTTAAAAGTAGTAAGCATAAATAAGTATTATATATTTTACTATGAATGATAAAAATAGTAAATATTAAAAAAATATTATATATTTTATTATAAATTTATAATAAAAAATATATGGATAGTCTTTTAAAAATATTATATAATAAATTTTGTGTATATTATATTTAGTATTAAATAAATTTTATTTTATTAAATTATTAATTCTAATATTATTGCCTTTGAATTCATTAAAAAAATATATATAACATATTTATGGATCTAAAATATACAATGACATATCATGTAATTAGTCTAGTAATTTAAGTCTTTTAAAAAAAAAAATAGCTGAGAATGAATATGAGATTGACACATCAGCAAAATAGCACCATTGTAATATTCTACAAATTTAAGGTTTCTCTTTAAAAATGCTTCTCTTTTAATATATAGGGGATATTTGGTATGTAAAGTTGTTGTATATCTTTGTCACCTTTTTTGGTGGAATATTCTAGTGCTGGTATTCTTCTTAAATGATTGGTGATCTGAGTCATATTATTAAATTAGGAGTTCTAAACTAAAAGACAATCGAAATCCATAAGAAATTAATAACTATGATACTTTCTTTACATATGAAGCCCTTGTTTGCATGTACGATATAAATCTTAGGTGATGTATATATATATATATTTGATTTTTACATGTCAAAAACTTAAAAGGTTAATTAATTTGGCTTGCTTACTAAAAACAAAAAAGAAGACCGATTGGAAAAGAAAAAAAAAAAACCCTAGAACTAATCAACACTCTCACTCATTTTTTTTTTCCTAGCCAAATTATCTTTTTAGATTTAGTTAGAGACTTGTATTAGTTCATAACTTCATATAGCTACGTAGAAGTTGTTGTCTAAAAAAAGTCCAGTCAGTGGAAAAGATCGATACGTATCTCCTCGGCCCTAAGTATTAATTATCGGTGATAATGACCTCATTGACATACTGTATAATCACTCTAAAATGTTTTATTTTCTTTCGTTGACTTACAATTATGCACTATCCACGTTGAAATACAATTTTATTTACCTCAGCAAGTAAATAGTTATCAGTATATATGATTGATAATAATACCATGTCCGAAATCACGATTCAATGCATTTTGAACCGCGAATCATACATACAAGAGTCATACTCATACGAGAAGTCTACAGAGATAAACGAATTTTAGCAGAAACAATGGATATGATTTTGTAATTTTCTGATAAAGAATAACCATTACCCCCTTACATAGCTTATCAATTACATTATGCATAATTTTATTTTATTTTGTGAATACTTTAGAATATGGATATGGTGGAATGTGATCAAATGGTGATGTAAATAAGAGCTGCAAAATGCAATCCGTGGGCATGGCAGCCCACGTGCCACGCCGTTTCTCCAATTCTGACGACTTACACAAAACCGATGCAAAAAGGGTACTTTCGGTAAACTACAACGAAGTTATAGAGGGGCCCAGTCACAGTTTTGAAAACCAGATAAGGGTATTTGCGTAATTTAAAGAAGTCAAGAACGCGCGCGTTAATTGAGAGGAAAAATGGCATATTCGCATATACCCAAGGAATTATACTTAACGTGCAGTGGATATCCTCTCAACTTGTCGGGGCCCACACTGATGCCACGTCTTCAGTACGGAATATGATGACATGGCAAGCAACTTGTCTGAAATGAATTGCTAGCCTTGGGTTCGAAACGACGTGGTGTTTATTCGATTATTTAAATTGGGTTAGTGTCATACACTAGACACGAGCTTCCGCTTAAATTACTAACAAATCTTAGTTAGGTCATACTTTATGTTCTAACTTTATGTTCTAACTTCTCCAATACAACAATGCCAGGAGAAATAAATTGCGGAATAAAAAGAAGAGAAATACAAGAATATACGAGATTAGTTTTGTAATCTGATTTCAACAAAATTTTAATTAAATATTACGATAATCTTTGATACAAGCTACGATTTTATTTTTTTGTTCAAATGTTCTAGTGGTTTAATACTACTACTCCTACTATTTGTTGCCGTAACATGTGAGTTATAGACTTTACAGAAAAAAATATTAAAATAACATTTATGGTATTGACGTCGGACCAATTCATTGTTTGTAAGTTTTATTTTCCAGTTTTGACATGCATTTTCCCAAGTCATCTTAATTAAGTCTAATGTTGAAAACGATCATGAAAGTATATATATAGATCGAATTATTGGTTAACAACGATTATAATATAGCTTAATGGTTTGTGGTAGTATAACGTTCATGCATCATCATACCAATGAAAACTGGATTACAGATGTAACAGCTGACAAATAAAAAGAGTTAGGTTACCGAAATCATCAGCTTGTTAAAGCATACAAATAACAAACCTTCGTCCCATAATATTTTCTTACGAAACTTTTAAAAGATATCATATTTGATCAGATTTGGAATAATGATGCTTCTTCTCTCGAAGAAATTAGCCATCGTTAACAAGTTGACTTTTTAAAATTAAAGGAAAACAAAAACTAATACTTCTTTTGCGTCTCATTTTCTGTTATTCAGAATTTTGCTAATAAATCCAAGCGGCACATCACTAACTTCGACATATAAATCCAAGTAATCCACATATATGGCTGTGACTTCATTAGACGTTTATACTCTTTTGCGAATTTCATGACCACATGATATATTTCTTCCATTTTAAAGATGTTCATAAGAAACAAAATATAATAAACGATGCACATCACTATATTCTAACGTGGATTGTGACCAAGAAAATTGACTGTATGGAGAAGTCCAGCTAGTATGGCATACACTTTTATATTTCTAGGGCTGAGATTTGATATGACAAAAAAATACTTTACAAGACTTTTAACAGGATAGAATACCGAATTTAGACCAGCCTCAAGCGGTACTTAAACTTGCAGTGCCGAAAAATAATTAGCGAATTTCTTTTGATTAATAAACCAATTTACGATAATATGCTTGTTTTTTAATGTTTTTTTAAACATCATTATTCTTGGGCTGAGAGTACGAGTAGTCTAGTACCATAACGAGATGATAAACCTGACAAAAAACTAGTAAATGATTTAATTTTAAACAATGAAAACAAACTTACGTACCAATTATCCTTAAAATGTTTTAAATAAAATAAATGATAGAAATATACAAAAACATTATACAATAAGTTATAGTTCTATAACACATCATTATTTAATAATAATAACAAGATTTAAAAATGTTATTTTAGAATAATCTTAAACTTTATGGGTAAATACTGTTGGTCGACATGGTAGGATATAGAACATGCGTATACAAGAAGATATAAAAGCAGCATCAAATAATTTTTTAGTTGAAAAAAAATCATGAAGTAAAATGTTTTTGTTTTGTTTTTATTATATATATGGGCCAATGTGAACTGCCCAATGTTGGAAGAGTCTCTCCAATTCCAAAAGCAGACACAGATGAAGATTGAAAGGATAAGGATTATTTACTTTTTGTTGGTTTCATTCATATGAACAAAACTGATTATCGAGAAAAAAAACGAAGAAACCACTAGAAATATTTATTTTATCCATCTTCAATTATGTGGCTAACTTGATGTGTCCTTAGGTTTAAAAAAAAAATGATGTGTCCTCTTACGTGACACATCGATAACGATACAAATGACCCCATTGTTGTTTTATGAAGAACGATTGGTTTTGAGTTTCCTCTCTATAAATTTCCTTTTGTTAGTTTAAAAATGCCAAAGTCTGACCATCCAGGACGTTCGAACACGGTACACGTCTGTACGCGTATGATGTGATGCCTTTCACCGCTGTTAATCACTGGATTAATTAACTGCCCGTTAAAAAAGATAAAAAAGTCTGATTAGTTCAAAACACACATATATAAATTTTAATACATATATAGACTTTGATTGAGGTTATCATGCACATGATCGTATTATCCATCATGCATGCTTCCTGAGTCCTGTCGAATTGTTGCATGCTTATGCATAACATTAATACTTCTGTTCTTATGCATACCATAACAATTTTCTTTTACTACATCTGCTTTATTAAGATTATTGAGAAGTAACGTAATTATAATGCAATGCTTGAGAAATACACAAAGATACATAAAAAATGAAACTATGAGAGAGTTCATCATGATCCTTTTCTTTGTCAAGATGTCCGCAACCATTTCTTTGGTTATCTACACAATTTAAGATAAGAGCTTTCCGAGCCCAAACAAGGATTCTGGCCCAAAATCAAGCCCATTTGACAATCGCCCTATATACTTATCCACTTCTAGCATTTCACATTCTCCAACGCTCAATCATTTTGTAACAGAGAGAAAAAATCTTCATTTTCGTTACAGGAGACATAAATAATTGAGAGAAAAGATCTTTGTAAAACAAGAGAAAAAACAATTCAGGGAAATATTTGTGAAAGTTCTTCCACACATATTTAAGACGATCTTGTTTTTATCCCAACTTTAATCTCAAACATGAGACAACAAGAGCAAGTAGTAACCACCACAAAGCAATCATCTTAAACTCAAACCTCAAACACAAACAACACACAAGAGCCGATTATTTCGAGCACAGACGCCACTAGCTTGTGGCTTACATGTTCCTCATCGTCTCAAGAACTTCATCTATTTCCCCTCACTAACTCCTCTTCATCTTCCTCTTCCCCTTCCTTCCGCCGCCGTTAGCAATGTCTTTGGACACGGTGGACAAGCTGGTGGTGTTCTTGGCCAAGAGAGACGGAATAGACAAGCTTGTGAAGACATTCCAATACGTCTCAAAGCTCGCCTGTTGGCACGTCGAAGCCACACGACCCGACGCGGCTGAGAGGTTCAAGAAGTGGGAGGTTGCGTCCGGTCTCAGCCGCAAAGCCTTCAGGTCCCCACACCTTTCTTATCACTTTATCTACACAGTGGCATAAATCGTAAATATAATCTACTAAATGAAATGAAATGTTTGGTTTATGACTTTATTCAAAATCGTATCACTAGCAGATATGAACAGTCGCTAGTACGATTCATATTGTCTAATACTATTACAATAACACTCGTTGTTAACTTATATGGTCGAATCATTGGAACAGAACCGGGAGATCTCTCACGGGGTTCAATGCGCTGAGACGAAACCCCGGAGCAACCCCAATGATCCGTTTCTTGGCGGTTTTAGCCAATTCGGGAGAGATGGTTTACTTCTTCTTTGATCACTTTCTTTGGTTATCAAGAATCGGTACACTAGACCCCAAGATCGCCAAGAGAATGAGTTTCATCTCGGCCTTTGGTGAATCTTTTGGCTACGTTTTCTTTATCGTCATTGATTGCATTTTCATAAGGCAGAGACTCAAATCCTTGAAAACGCTCCGGTATTCGATTGATGATAAGCCGAAAGAAGAAACTGGCGAAAAGATTAAGGAGATTCAGGGGGATATAGTGATGAGATTGATGGGAATCTCGGCTAACATTGCGGATTTGATTATCGCATTGGCCGAAATTGAACCAAACCCGTTTTGTAACCACACGGTTACACTCGGTATAAGCGGTTTGGTTTCAGCTTGGGCCGGTTGGTATAGGAATTGGCCATCGTGAGATGTGATGAGATAAGGATGTATCATGTATGTTTGTAGCAAACGTGACTCACTTGAATATATACGCACATTTCTATTTTATATTATTTAGGGGTCAAATCGAAATAAAATAAAACTAGGGGTATGAAAAAGTATAATTTATCTACGTGGGGCATTTCTGAAATTCATAAAACTTGATAACTGTAAATAACTTCCCCCCCACTATCACTATCGCCAGTAAACCCGTTTGTATTGGGACGGTTAATACTTTTTAAAATTTAATTTTCATCAGAAGTCGTTACCATTCCTCTTAATATATTTATAGATTTAGCAACATACAGAAGAAACGCAGAGAATGATTATTGAATGAAACTGACTGATGAGAAGAATGATTCCAACATCGTTATCAAGCAAGTTACAAGGAGTAGTGAGTATGAATGCGTTTAGATGTTATGTTTCCGAGTTTATCTCCACCTTCTTCTTCGTCCTCGCAGCCGTTGGATCCGTTATGGCTTCAAGTATACATTCACACTTCTTCTTAGTTTTCTCTTTTGACCAAGAACTTATCTTTGATTAATCGATTTTTGTTTAACAGGGAAATTGATGGCGGGTGATGTAACGGGTCCGTTTAGCGTATTAATGCCGGCGATTGCGAATGCGTTTGCGTTATCTTCTTCGGTTTACATCTCTTGGAACATCTCTGGCGGCCATGTGAATCCTGCGGTCACGTTTGGGATGGCGGTTGCTGGTCGAATCAGCGTTCCAACCGCTATGTTTTATTGGACCGCACAGATGATTGCCTCTGTTATGGCTTGCCTTGTCATTAAAGTCACCGTCGTTGAACAGGTAATTACCATTTTCCTTACACAAATCACTTTTTATTGTCTTGATTTGTTGTTTTATATGTCTATGTTTGAATCTCTCAGCACGTTCCGATCTATAAGATCGCCGGAGAAATGACGGGATTTGGAGCATCGGTTCTCGAAGGTGTTTTAGCGTTCGTCCTGGTCTATACCGTGTTCACGGCTAATGATCCGAGACGAGGTTTGCCTTTAGCCATGGGACCGATATTCATAGGGTTTGTTGCGGGTGCCAATGTTCTAGCCGCTGGTCCGTTCTCTGGAGGTTCGATGAACCCGGCGTGTGCCTTTGGGTCGGCTATGGTCTACGGAAGCTTCAAGAACCAAGCCGTGTATTGGGTCGGGCCATTGCTCGGAGGAGCCACGGCTGCATTAGTGTATGACAACTTGGTGGTTCCGCCAGAAGATGACCGTGGTTCATCCACCGGAGATGCCACTGGAGTATAATGACTTATGCATCTCATATCTTTATTTATGTTGATTACGATGTAGAGTTTTTTTTCAGTTTCAGAAATGTTGTTGACTTGATGTTTTAATTTGTTGAATACTAATTTTAGTAGATTTCATTACAAATTGTTTTACTATTTCACCGATTTGTTACATACAACTCTTGTTTCTGAAGCTAAACCGATAATTTTGCAAGTAAAAACAAAAATTTTAAAAATACCATTTGGGTCTTACTTCTTCTTCCTTGTCGGTTAAGTCACGGTACTGATACCATTCAGCACCGGAAGAGGCAATGGGTAATGTTGGTCTGATAAACACTTCAACTGGTTTTGGCACACTTACGCAAAGACGTATCTCATGCTCTGATTCTTCCAGATCTCTCGGCTCAGAGTCTCGTGTTCTGCGGATTGGTTCAATTGAAATCCATCCTAATCCAGATATAGCCACGTCACTAGCCGGCCTGATAAAGAAATGAGTTATGTTTGGTGAAGAACATTTGTTTTACCAAAGACAGATAGGAACAGAGGATAGCGATTATTTTCTCACCTCTTGGGATCGTTAAATTCAATTCGGAGTAGACGGTGAGATTGTAACCCTTTCCACTCCTGAATCTGATCTTTGCCTGATGGAGGCGTGAGAAGCAGACCAAGTTCTTTCTGCATAACAAATGAGTACCAAGTAAATAAAACATTTCTTCGAACTAGCAATGAAGTTGATATTGATGGTGTAAGAAACTTACCTGGTAAAAATCGTTTGCTGTTTTGGTTGCTACTACATGAATCTCAAGAGCCTTTGGTCCATAGAATGTGAAACGCGTTTCTGGTAGAGCCTGAGATAAGTCAAGTATGTATTGATTTTCGAAAACTGATATCCACTGTGAAACATAATTTCGCAATTTGGTATTAATGTTACCTTCAAGATGTCAATCCTGACGAGACCTCCCCAGAAAAATGTATAACCGTTCAAGCTCTGACCCTCGGGACTACTTGATAATTGACTTGGCAATGTTGAGATCTGTAAGCAACAGAAACATAAATAAAATCATCATACTGATACTACGGTGATATAGTTTTTAGCAGGCTGTAAAACTAGTAGACCTACGTCGAAAGACTGGCCTCTGAGCCGATTTTGAGGAGCAAGGGCGGGTAAATCATCTGAATGAACAACAGCTGCTTGCCTGTGGTGTAGGTGCACACCCGGTGTATCATACAATTTCTGTGGTAATATGGTATTCTCTTAGCATAATGAATATACTTTTGTTTAATAAGGAGAAGAAGTTATAGAATCTGAAGGAGGTTTCAGTTTATACCTCTCCTCCTAGAAAGGCATTGATCTGGATTGGACCCAAGGTGGTTCCAGGGACAGCAGATTGAATCGGTTTGTACTTCTGTGCTGCTGCTGCAACAGGGTCCCTCTCGGCCATTGTTTCTGTATAATGAATTCTCATTTAACTCTCTATATAGATGCAAACCGTAACAGCAAGTGACATAAACACAATGGAGATTAGAGGATTTACTTAGCAAAGCATTGATGAATGCAGACTTCCCTACGTTAGCTGCACCCTGTGAAAGCATGAAGATATAATGCAATGAATATATTTGCCAGACCACCAAAGAAGTTTGTTTTCAATATGCACAGCATCTATCTCCAGTAAACAAATTTTACGAAATGGTGGATTCATATGGAACAGTGTAGTGTAGAGTTTGTTGCTGTAATGGTCATAAAAGAAAATGAAAACCGGCGGACATTGATTTTCAGTACGCACTGCCTCTCTCATTTAAGATACGTTGACCAAAAAAATAATAACTTGCGTCCGTCAATTATAGAATTACTAACTAAAACTCTGTTTTGATTGGTGACAAAATTGAGAATGCACATACCAGAATGTAGACATCTCGTCCCTGAAAACAAAATTAGAGATGGAGGTGTCAGGTTGCTGAAGATAAAAATGAATAGAAAGGTTATATTATCCGATTTTGAGCCATAAAGAAAACACCAATTCTCAAGACAGCTTTACGGTGTATAGCATATGCTACCTTTTTCTCCTTCTGGATTTCTGATGCAACTCCGCTAACTCCATCCAGAGACTTGGAACTTGTGAGATGAACACTCAAGACACTGTCATAAGTTATATCAGACACTAGCTCCCGAAACATTAGAACACTAACAAACCTAGTAGATGAGTACTTGATACCTACTTTAGCTTTTTCTTCGTGGTCACTTCTACAACCCAATCACCGATACAGTTCATATCTGTTCCTTTTGGAAGGAGATCGATCTAACAGTACAAAGCACAGTAACTAATCAGAGAAAAGCTGGAAATGATTGAAGAAGTAGCAAGATTTGTAAACCCTTACCTTAGTTATAACTAGTACTATCGGATTAGCCCCAACTAAGTCACGGACACGAGCTAAAAAGCTACCATTGAAATCCACAATATCAACCTGGGAGAGAATCAAATGCATTAAACCATACAGAATGTTGATGATTTATTGGGACATATACTACAGACGAAAATCTGCATGAACTCACCAATTTGACAATCAAAGCCTTCTCATGGCGCAAGTGAGAAAGCTTCTCACGGAGTTCATCAGCTGATACGAATTGTTTCCCACCAGCATATCCTCCATTGCCACCGACTGCTGTAATCATATGTCCATGAGACAAGAGCTGACATCTTCCACAGATGATGGTTCTTAACTGGTGATGTTTCTTCTTCTGCAATACAATTCGATTTTACCATTTCCACTTCAATGAGAAGAAAACCACCAATTCATCAAGCAACTAACGAATTTGAGATTCTGAAGCTCGAAATTATAAAATTCATACCAAATCGTAAGTAACAAGATCGACGAATCCCGGAGAATCGACGTCGGAAGTCTGTAACGGAGCTCCGCATCCGTAGCAACATGAGACGGAGGTGTCAACAACTTTCCGTACAACCTCGTCCTTCTTTTTCTTCTTCTCCTTTTTGAGCTCTTTCTTCACCACTTTCTTAGCTTCATGAGCTCGTTGGTTCTCCAGGAACCTCTCTCCAGGTGTAGGAGCTGCCGCCGCGAATCCATCCCGTTCCGAGAGTGAAACCGCCGGTTCTGAATTAGCGATAGACTTACATACGGTTAAGGTCGCCGGGTTCCGGTGAATCACGGTGAGTGTTGGTTCGCGTCTCGTGAGGCGACGAGGAAGAGAAGGAAACGTCGAGAGTGTCCGTAGCGCCATTGCTGAGATTTTCCCACCAGCTACTATTATGTTATCTAAAGCCTTAGAGTCCCTCCCGAGAGAGAAAGTGAGATACTCTAACTGGTTCAGAGGTTTATTCGACCAAGGGGAATATAGAAATCGAGATACGAACCTTCTGGATGTGCTGGAAGGTTAGTGTAGGGTTAAAGAAAATTCAGTTTCCCGCTCTTCTCCACATTCCTCTCTACATTATTCCTTCAGACACAACGTCGTAAATTTATTAATGTTGATTTAGTAGTCGATTATTGTCCTTGTGGGCGTGCCGGAGTGGTTATCGGGCATGACTAGAAATCATGTGGGCTTTGCCCGCGCAGGTTCGAATCCTGCCGCTCACGGTTTTTGTTTTCAATCATTATTTCAAAAATCGATTTTTACCATTGACAAAATGATATAACGCTATTTAATTAAAAAAAACACGATGATGTTCACATTTGTTCCTGAAATACTATCATGATTTCAAAACAGTTGTCACTTTGACAAACAAAAAAAACAGTTCACATGTATTCATTAAACACATTATATTTCAAAACAGATACTGTTATCCTGGTGTAGAGTGTAATCAACCAAGAAGGTTATTACTTGGAAGAAAAAAACCCAAAAACTGTTTACATCATAGAAATGTACTAAAAAGTTATATAGTGAAATTGGCTTAAAGTGTTTCTCTACCTCTGACAATATAATACGAAGGAGATGAATGTGATTAACAAATAGACAAGGCATCACTGTGTTGTTTCTTAACTGAATTTACATAAGAAGCAAGGAAGATAGATAGAGAGTCTTCCCTTTTTTCCTTGTATATATACAAACATTCACAACCGCTCTCTATAGCTTTGATGTAATAAACATGTACAAAAGACAAAATCAGTTCTTGAGGACCATTGCCTCCATTTTCCTCTTTCTCGCTGCGTGTTTTAGTTTCTCTAGCGCCACAAGCCCCACCTGTCTCACCCTCTCTCTCGATAATCCTATCCTGCAAATTTTTTTATCCAGGGAAACAGTTTAAAAATCGATGCAACAATTGATCAAGAAGAGACTTAAAGATTGTATACATACCGTTTGCTAATGTCTTCCCATGTGAGACATTTTTTGTCTAGACCATAGTATAATCGAATGATCTCCCTTTCCCGTTCTCCAAGTGTTGCACTTATAAGCTTGCTTACTTCGTCCTGCAGTTATATATCATCAACATCCTCCTCAACTTCATAAAACAAGTATGAAAATCTATAAATGTGTGCCTTTTATACCTTGAGTGCCCACTCATCATATCCATGCCACGGATTGTTCTCCAAACGATTATCCGCAATGTACTGAAAATATTTATTTCAAAACCAGCCAAATGTTAACATACTTGAGAGGAGAGACTTAATGAAAACCAAAACTGTTGCTTTGTTGAAGAGGAACGGAAAAAAGAGACTCACACTGTGATGGGTTTCTCCAGGGACACCGTTCAAAGAAGGAAATGCATCTCTGTCTAGGGAAAATATTTTGCTTACAGCCTGCAATTTTCCAAGTGCAAGAGCATGAAAGCAAATACGCATGCATTGGTTCTCGAAAACGAAATGGAGACGAATCAAAAACTAGTTTTCTCACCTCTGTTGCATTTCTAACTTTCTTCTGTGACATGTTTAGAGACTCTGCTATCCTCTGGAAAGAGAAATTATTATAAGCATGCAAAATTTAAGACAGGAGAAACCAGAATTTGTTCTGAGAGTTATTAGTATGCTTACATCAATGGAGGGTGTGATTCCTTTCTCTTGAAGTCTAAGCTTCGCATTTCGGATTACACCGAGCCTTTCATGCAGGTGAGTAGGTAACCTCAAGGTTCTTGAGTTGTTCACTAATGCTTTTGCCACACCCTTTTTAAATATTCAAAACAAAGAGCACCAAAATGTCATATTTTGCTTTCTAATCATGTTGGCAAGCACAAAGCATCAAACATCTGAGGTTAAGCAATAACCTCACCTGTCGAATCCACCAATATACATAAGTTGAGATTCTGAAACCTTTGGAAGAATCAAATTTCTCTATTCCCCGCAAAAGTCCGATAAGACCACCCTTCATAGTATGAAAACAAACATCTTTTTTAATAAAAAATGTTCATGAAAAGATGACAAAGAAAAGCACAAGATTTGGAAATTACCTGAACAAGATCAGACATTTCTGCTCCCATATTATCATAACGCTGAGCAATAGACATAACCAAACGCACATTGCTCATAGCCAACTTCTCTCTCGCGAGATGACATTCCATCAACCATGCCTGAAGCTCGGCCCGAGATATCTTCAAGGATATTGCAAGCTGCTCATCGGAAGGCTCACAGCCTAATCTATCCTTCAATCTAATGTTTAACTAGACAAATGATTAGTCTTGTATTATTAATACTTTCTGCTCAAGTTAATATTATTAATAAAATTTTACCTTGACTTATGATCATCAAGGCGAAGTCCGGATTTGATTTTCTTCGACAAGCGCACGACTTCCGCGTGACTAAGCATATCTTCACTTATCACACCCTTCACATAACCCTTCACACGATTGTCTTGAAACAACTCTGAATTGATCACTGTTCTAACCTGGTTTCCACTACTAACTTCTGAAACTGCGCTAACATGACTCATCTTAGTTTTCTTCTTAGCACAGATTCTCCTTTGCCGAGCTGAAATCCCTGAGCGGGTGACGGGAATCTTCTTCCGAGTGGTCCTCTTCTTGCTTGGGGATTCACTTGTCGCAGTCTTCTCAAACGAAAGATTCCACTGTTTTTCCAACATAGACTTCTGTAATAGTAAGAGTGCTTCAACAGAAAGGCCAAGATCATCATCATAGTTTTCCTCTTCTAATGTTGAAATCTGTAAGGAACAAAGCACAAATTAAAATCCTCATACTGATACTACGGTGATATAGTTTTTAGCAGGCTGTAAAACTAGTAGACCTACGTCGAAAGACTGGCCTCTGAGCCGATTTTGAGGAGCAATGGCGGGTAAATCATCTGAATGAACAACAGCTGCTTGCCTGTGGTGTAGGTGCACACCCGGTGTATCATACAACTTCTGTGGTAATACGGTATTCTCTTAGCGTAATGAATACTTTTGTTTAATAACAGGAAGAAGTTACAGAATCTCAAGGAGGTCTAAGTTTATACCTCTGCTCCTAGAAAGGCATTGATCTGAATTGGACCCAAGGTGGTTCCAGGGACAGCAGATTGAATAGGCTTGTACTTCTGTGCTGCTGCTGCAACAGGGTCCCTCTCGGCCATTGTTTCTGTACAATGAAGTATATAGACAATCAAGCTCAAACTCTCTTCATAGATGCAGACTAAATCCTGGAGAAATTGGCCCTACTAGAAATCAAGCTAACGCAGCACCCAGAAAAAAAACACTAAGATAACTAAACACAATGGAGAACAAATTACTTACTCAGCAAAGCATTGATGAATGCTGACTTCCCTACGTTAGCAGCGCCCTATGAAAGCATGAAGAAATGATGAATAAATAGTTCCAGGCCGTCAAAGAAGTAAATTCATAAAAGTACAGCCTCTATCTCAAGTAAACAAATTTATGAGTTGGTGGATCATATAGAATAGTTTAGTATAGTCTTTGTTGTTCTAATGGTCATAAAAGAAAATCAAACCAGAGAAACATGATTTTAAATAAGCACTGCCTCTCTCATTTAAGATACGTTAAGCTATGAAGTAAGTAAAACTCTTCTTTTTTTGTTGGTGACAAAATTGCGGATGCACATACCAGAATGTAGACATCTCGTCCCTGAAACCAAAACAGAGATGGAGAAGTTAGGTTGCAGAAGATAAATGAATATAAGGTTATTTTATCCGATATTGAGCGATAAAGGAAACAAGCTTTACTAGAAATATGTAAGCATTAGTGTCAAGACAATATAACGGTGTATAGCATATGCTACCTTTTTCTCCTTCTGGATTTCTGATGCAACTCCGCTAACTCCATCCAGAGACTCGGAACTTGTGAGATGAACACTCAAGACACTGTCATAAGTTACATCCATCTAAATCAGACACTAGCTCCAGAAACATTAAAACAGTAACAAACGTAGTAAACTTGATACCTACTTTAGCTTTTTCTTCGTGGTTACTTCTACAACCCAATCACCGATACAGTTCATATCTGTTCCTTTTGGAAGGAGATCGATCTAACAGTACAAATGATCAGAGAAAATTAGAAATGAATGAAGTAGTCACGAAAATTAGAAATTAGAAGCCTTACCTTAGTTATAACTAGTACTATCGGATTAGCCCCAACTAAGTCACGGACACGAGCTAAAAAGCTACCATTGAAATCAACAATATCAACCTGGTAGAGAATCAAGTGAACAAAAAATGCATTAAACCATACAGAATGATGATGATTTATTAGGACATATAATAGAGAAGAGAAGCTGCATCAACTCACCAACTTTACAATCAAAGCCTTCTCATGGCGCAAGTGAGAAAGCTTCTCTCGGAGTTCATCAGCAGATACGAATTGCTTTCCACCAGCGTATCCTCCATTGCCAACAACTGCTACAATCATATATCCATGAGACAAGAGCTGACATCTTCCACAGATGATGGTTCTTAACTGGTGATGTTTCTTCTTCTGCAATAACAATGATTTCAATTTCGATTCACCCTTTTCATTTCAATGAGAAGAAACCGCTAATTCACCAATCAACTAACGAATTTGAGGCTCTGAAGCTCGAAACTGTAAAATTCATACCAAATCGTAAGTAACCAAATCGACGAATCCCGGAGAATCGACGTCGGAGGTCTGTAACGGAGCTCCGCATCCGTAGCAACATGAGACGGAGGAGGTGTCAACAACTTTCCGTACAACCGATTCCTTCCTTTTCTTCTTCTCCTGTTTGAGCTCATTCTTCACCATTTTATTAGCTTCGTGAGCTCGTTGGTTCTCCAAGAACCTCTCTCCAGGGGTAGGAGCTGCCGCTGAGAATCCATCCCGTTCCGAGAGTGAAACCGCCGGTTCTGAATTAGCGATAGACTTACATACGGTTAAGGTCGCCGGGTTTCGGTGAATCACGGTGAGAGTTGGTTCGCGTCTCGTGAGGCGACGAGGAAGAGAAGGAAACGTCGAGAGCGCCATTGCTGAGATTTTCTCACCAGCTATTATCTTATCCTAAAGCTAAGAGTCCCAATAGTGAAAGCGTGAGGCGACGAGCAAGAGAAGGAAACGTCGAGAGCGCCATTGTTGAGATTTTCCCACCAGCTATATTATCTTATCCTAATCCTTAAGAGTCCCCAGAGAGAAAACGAGATACTCTAATTGGCTCGGAGGGATACTCGACCAAAGGGGAATATAGAAATCGAGCGTGGAACCTTCTAGATGTGTTGGAAAGTTAGGGTAGGGTTACAGAAAACTCAGTTTCCCGCTCTTTTGCTACCAAACCGAAATGCCCAAAATTTTGGATGATTCAATTTCAGATAATCTTCACAAAAGAAATCAATACAACAATAACCCTTGTGTCTCTCCTTGACACATCAGATTTTTCAAACTTTTTAAAGCTGACACTTCAGCAAAAATATCACCAATCAAAACATTTCAATAATACACATCAGATTATTTTATATGCTGATTTTTGTTTTTTTTACTAAATCCATTAATCAAAATCCAAACAAATGATAGTCTTCAAAAGCCTAAAATAAATAGATATTTTTATTTTATTAAAATTAAATACATACTTTTTAAAATTATAAATTACTAAAAGGTTGCATATTATATTTGTTGTTGTTGCAAAATAACTGAAATGTATATATTTTCTTATTATTATAAATATCTTTAAAAAATTGTTTTTGATTAAAATACTATTTTTATTGAATGTACTATTTTTAATGTAGAGCTAGAGTTGAATTATTGAATTTAAATTAGGTATGCGTTTCAATAATTATTTCGTTAAGAAGATAATTTTTTTATTTTGGAATATATAAAGTATTTTTATTACTACCACGCATGTGTGTGCTGAATTGGTTTTTTATTCTGAAGAAAATAAAAACAATCTCAAACTTCTTTCTTCTCTTCTATTCTTTCTCTTTACTAGAGTTTTCTGCTCCTAAAAATAAATCCACTTTAAATAATGCTCATTTAAAAACAATTTCAGTTTTTTTTGTGAAAACTTTTGGATCTTTAATTTATAACAAATTATAGAATCAAATATGAATAATTTTTATTTCAGAAATGTAAAAAAAATAAGTGCAAATGATCTGGTAAATAATAATTGAAAGATTCCCAACCCGAGCAGCAACTGTAGAAAATGATAGACTTTAGTTAATCTATAAGCTACTGACTATTACAGAAATTAAAGTATATATTTAATTTGTTTTATATTTTCCTTGTTTATCAATTTAAAATATGATCTGGTTATTGTAGTAGTAGTATTAATTTAATACTCCCTTCATTTTTTATATGATATTTTAAAGGGTTTTTGTTTTAAATTATATGATGTTTTCAGAAATTTATGAAAGAATTGATGCTAAATAAATTTTTTTACTCTTATATTAATAATTAAATAAAAACTTTAATTCATAATAAATTAGGTTATAAATTTATTATAATAGATTTTTTAATTGTGTATAATCTTAAAATATTATATACAAAAATGGAGAAAGTGTATTTTTCAAAATATTTATTTTTCAATTTTGGGTTTTTAATATTTTTCATCAAACATATTTTACAATCTTTTATAATTAAATTACTATGTTAGAAGGTAAGAAATTGAAAGAAAAATTGTAAAGAAGAAACTTAGTTTGCTTCAAACTGGTGCAACTAATCAAAGCTAAGGATTGAGTTCAGATGTTAGCATCTTAAAATAAAAGGTGTAAGATCAGTCAAAATTTAAGGTCATCTTGGTTCATTTGAGCCAAGAGAACATGTTAATATGTTAGCAATATACTTGAATTTGATTCGATTAGTTAATAGAAACTTACATTAATTTGTATTTACAGTTTTATGCTTTGCATATAATCACAAAAAGGTAAAAAAGTTGAGTTGTAGTCTAATATTCATTGAACTGAACAAAATATAATATAATTATAATAAAGATAATGAATTATAGGAGAACTATATTGCATTCTTTTTTGGTTACGCCTAACTATAATAGATATAAAAAGATGTTAAAAAAACAAACAAAAATATAACATTTTAAAAGATACAAATTGAAAACAAATAAAGAATGTTAAACCATCTCCATCGTTGGTTTCTTATCTCTTATTAATATAATAATAAAAGTTAAGAGAAAAGAGAGAAATCGTTTCTCAAGTTGGTTAAATAAGAAACGTTTGTAAGCTTTTTAACAAACTCATTTAATATGTGTTCTTTTATGATTAATATAGATTTTTTTATTATTTAAAAATTAATATCCTTTATCTTTTAGATACTCTAAGGGTTGTTAACCGCTGGAGATGCTCTTAGTAACACAAATAAATAATACTAAATTACTTCATAGTTTTGTAATTATGTTTGACACAAAAACGAAATTTCTTGGTTTTGACGGAATAATATGATTTTTTTTTTGCGAGAAAAAAAAATTTCTTGGTATTGACAGGAAGATGAATTTTCTTGGGAAAACAAAATTCTCGGTTTTGACAAAAAATACGATTTCTCAGTTTTGGTGGAAAAATGAAAGTTCTTAGTTTAACGGGAAAAGGTAATCTCTATTCTGGCCGGAAAACGATAATTCTCGTATTGACGGAAAGACAAAATTTCTCAGCTATGATGGAAAAACAAAATTTCTAGGTTTTGACGGGAAAATACGATTTTTCGATTTTGATGAGAAATGCAATTTCTCGCTTTGAAGGATATTATAATTTCTTTATTTTTGTGGGAAACATAACTTTTTGGTTTTGGCGGAAAAATGCAATTTGACGGTTTTGGCAGAAAAACAAAATTTTTTGGTTTGATGGAATAATGACATTTCTCGGCTTAGACGGGGAAATACAATTTTTGATTTTGGCGGGATAATGCGATTTTTCAATTTTTGACGGGAAAATGCAGTTTCTCTATTTTTGGCACAAACATGTAATTCTTCGGTTTTGGCGGAAAAACGTAATTTCAAAGTTTTGGCGGGAAAATGCAATTAGATGATTTCGTTGGGCAAAATGTAATTTTTCAGTTTTGACATGAAAACAAAATTTTTCGGTTACGATGGAAAAATAAAATTTCTTAGTTTTGATGTGAAAATGCAATTTTTCGGCTTTGGTGGGAAAATGTTATTTCCAGTTTTTGATGGATAATGTGATTTCTCGATTTTTGTGGGAAACATAATTTTATAGTTTTTGCGAAAAATGTAATTTGACGATTTTGTCGAGAAAACGTGATTTCTCTATTTGACATGAAAATGACATTTCTCGAATTGAGAAGGAAAATACAATTTTTTTAGTTTTGGCAGGATAATGCGATTTCTCTATTTTTGACGGGAAAATACAATTTCTCGGTTTCGGCAGGAAAAATACAATTTATCGATTTTGGCACAAAATTGAAATTTTTCGGGTTTGGCGGAAAAATGCTGTTTGATGATTTCAGCGGGATAACATGATTTTTCAGTTTTGGCGGAAAAATTCAATTTCTTCGTTTTGGTTGGAAAATGTGATTTTAAGTTTTGTTAAAAAAAATTATGGTTTTGTTGAAAAATGTAATTTTATTATTTTCTTGATTTTATCAAAAATATGATTTAATGGGGTTTTAGGTTTTTTTGTTTTTTGAAGTTTAATAATATTTTAGTCATTTATTATTTTAGAATGAAATATCTCCATCTAAATAGTCTAATTTTGTTTATAAATTTGTTTAAATTTTTTAAAAAATCATCCTCAATAATTTTGTCTCTAAATAATTCTCATAAATTTATCTAAATTTTAAAAAATCATCCAGATACATTATCTGAATGTTTTTCGATTTTGTTATAAAACTAAGAAATTTTTTATTTTTATTCAAATGAACCATCTAGATGGAGAAACAATCAAGGCACAAATATAAAATTTATGCTAAATACAAAATAAGTATAATATTTATTTATATTATAAAAAAAATATTTTTAAAAATTTAAAATAAAGGAAATTTAGAATTATATTCCGCAGCTTAGCGTACCTAGTTAAAAATAAAATAAAATAAAAGTAGAGTTCAGATTCGTCACTGCAACGGTTAGATTCCGTAGCAGCGAATTCAATTTCGGAATTACGCTTGTTGTGATTCTTCGTCTTCCGGGTTATTGATGGAACTTCGTTTCTAGGGTTCATGTGATTAGCTTCTCATCTCGCTTTTCTAGGGTAAATTTGGGGGAAGAAGAAGAAGAAAGAGGATGCACATAAAAGAGATATGCTTGGAGGGTTTTAAGTCATACGCGACGAGGACGGTGGTTCCGGGTTTTGACCCGCAATTCAACGCGATTACGGGTCTGAACGGGTCCGGGAAATCGAACATCCTCGATTCCATATGCTTCGTTCTGGGTATCACTAATCTTCAGCATGTTCGAGCCGCTAATCTTCAGGAGCTCGTCTACAAGCAAGGACAAGCTGGGATTACGAAAGCCACTGTGTCCGTAACATTCGATAACTCCGAGAGGAATAAGAGTCCTCTCGGCTATGAAGAACATTCGGAGATAACCGTCACTAGACAAGTAGGTCTTTCTCTTTCGCTCTAAAAGCTTAGAAATTTCTGGTTGAAATGAGAAGCTTCTTTTTAAGTTCTATCCAAATGTTAGTTTTGATCTAGACTATGTTATAAGGCTATGGTGAAAAAGGTTTCTCAAGTTTTAATTTTGCTTAGAGCTGATTAGAGTCTTCTTCTTTGTGTCTTTGGCTCTGAAGATTGTAGTTGGTGGGAGGAACAAGTATTTGATCAATGGGAAGCTTGCGCAACCAAATCAAGTCCAGAACCTTTTCCACTCGGTGCAGCTTAACGTCAACAATCCTCATTTCCTGATTATGCAAGGGCGTATCACCAAAGTTTTGAACATGAAACCTCCGGAGATCTTGTCAATGCTTGAAGAAGCCGCTGGTACGAGGATGTACGAAAACAAGAAAGAGGCTGCACTGAAAACACTAGAGAAGAAGCAAACCAAGGTCGACGAGATAAATAAGCTCCTAGATGATGAGATATCGCCGGCTTTGGAGAAGCTGAGGAAAGAAAAGACACAGTACATGCAGTGGGCTAATGGTAACGCGGAACTAGATCGGCTAAAGAGGTTCTGTATCGCTTTCGAATATGTTCAAGCAGAGAAAATTAGAGACAACTCTCTCCAAGTGGTTGAACAAATGAAGACGAAGATGACAAGTATTGACGAAGAGACCGAAAAGACGCAGGGAGAAATATCGGAGCTGGAGAAACAAGTTAATGCTTTGACTCAGGCAAGGGAAGCTAGCATGGGGGGAGAAGTAAAAACTTTGTCTGACAAAGTGGATTCACTGTCTAATGAAGCCACACGTGAATTATCAAAGCTTAATAATATGAAAGACACCCTTCAGGGCGAAGAAAAGAATGCTGAAAAGGTTAGCTGGCAGGTCTTAACTTGGCTTGGAACTGTTATAGATTATGAACGGTTTCTGACAATTTTTGGTGTTGCCAGATTGTTCATAATATAGAAGATTTGAAGAAATCTGTAGAAGAGAGAGCTTCTGCTCTGAAGAAGTCCGACGAAGGAGCAGCAGATCTAAAACGAGAATTTCAGGAACTTTCCACCACACTGGAAGAGTGTGAAAGAGAACACCAGGTAGTATTACTAAGGAAAAATCTATATTTACTGCCAAATTTCCTTAGTCTGTCTTGTATGTTAATTGGATTTAGGTCCCTTGATAATTAGGGTGTACTAGCTGGTAAGAGTAGTGGAGACGAAGATAAATGCCTCGAAGATCAACTACGTGATGCAAAGATTTCTGTTGGAACAGCTGAAACGGAGTTGAAGCAGCTAAGTACCAAAATTAGTCACTGTGAAAAAGAGCTAAAAGAGAAAAAGTCCCAGTTAATGTCAAAGCGAGAAGAAGCTGTTGCAGTGGAAAATGAGCTTGATTCTAGAAAAAATGATGTCGAAAGTGTGAAAAGTGCACTTGATTCTCTTCCATATAAAGAGGGTCAGATGGAAGCATTGGAGAAGGTTAGCATGCTTGTTCTTTGTATTTTCTTTCCTTCTTTTGTTACATAAATAATACATCTTTGACTGAAATTCTCTTAGGATCGAGAATCGGAACTTGAAGTTGGGCAAAGGCTGAAAGATCAAGTGCGTAATCTGTCAGCTCAATTAGCAAATGTTCAGTTTACGTACCGCGATCCTGTGAAGAACTTTGATCGATCAAAGGTGAAAGGTGTGGTTGCAAAACTGATAAAAGTGAATGATAGGTCCTCAATGACAGCTTTGGAGGTAAGTAAGCTATTATCGTATCATTATACATTGTAGGATCGTTTGAGTTCTCTAAGGTGACTATTTTTTTTTCAGGTTACTGCTGGCGGGAAGTTATTCAATGTTGTTGTAGACACAGAAGATACTGGAAAACAGCTCCTTCAAAAGGGTGATCTACGGAGACGTGTTACAATTATTCCTCTCAATAAAATTCAGCCTCACTTAGTTCCACCTAGAGTGCAGCAAGCCACTGTTAGATTGGTATGTGGATCTTTTTATTCTATTGCCAAAGTCAACTCCTGTTTCTTTGTTCCTTGCTGATTTTCTATTAATTTGTAGGTTGGGAAGGGTAACGCGGAATTGGCACTTTCTTTAATTGGTTATAGCGAAGAATTAAAGGTGCGTCGGTTACCTGCTAATACATTTGCATCATTCATTAGTTTATTACATTTCTGATAAATTTATATTATGCAATGCAGACAAACATTTCATCACATTTATGAGCTGTGTAACCACTGTTTATGTAGTTTTAGAGCATTTAGTTACGGACAGACTGCTTCCGTTAGTCCATGACTATTAATATTCGTTTGACATTCTCCAATTCTTTGCAGAATGCTATGGAATTCGTTTTTGGTTCCACTTTTGTTTGCAAAACTACTGATGTGGCAAAGGAAGTAAGTATTTCTCACACATTAGAGTACGTGTGTTCTGACTTTGTGTTTGTGGAGGATGTTGTAGAGATGTATCTTGTTTTTCGAAGCTATTTGAATAACAACCTTACTTGACATGCATTTTCAGTTGCGCTTTTGTTATATAGTCTTATAATTCAATCTTCTCTCTGATTAGAGTAAAAAATGGAATACATCGGTTTTCTTTATATAAATGGAATGAACCTAGAGGAACTCAGTTCCTTATTTATAATATAAAACTGTCTAGCCTCTCTGGCTGTGGTGTCTAGCAGAGGGAGAGCTCTCAATTTTTTATGGGTCTCAAATAATTTCTTTTTTTCTCAAAACTTGATCGCTTTGTTGGTTTACAAATGCATTTTTCTGACCTATTTTCTTTGCCTTACTATCTTCTCTACTATTAGATACCTATATTTCGATGGCAACACTTCTCTGTTTTCTTTAGATGGTTCATTCTTTAATTTTCCCTCAAATGCTTGTTCGGCAGGTTGCTTTTAATAGGGAAATTCGGACTCCAACTGTGACACTTGAAGGTGATATATTTCAGCCAAGTGGTCTTCTTACTGGTGGAAGTCGCAAGTATGTCATTCTTTATATTAGACCTCTAGATCTTTGGTGGCGTTAATGTCCCTGATTTCATACAGATATATTTCAGCAATACTGAAAAACTGACCAAAAACGTCGTGTTTTTTTGTGTGTGTTTTCTGTCTTAGGGGTGGAGGTGATCTGCTAAGGCAACTCCATGATCTGGCAGAGGCTGAAACAAAACTTCAAGTACACCAGAAAAGGTTGTATGAAATTGAAGCCAAGGTAAATGTCTTCAATTTTTCATTAGCTATTGCTTTCCTTTTAGAAAAAGACACTTTGAGGTTTGACAGATGAGTTAGACATCATAGAATTTCTACCGAAACGCTTGAAGCACAAACCATATACACTTTCTTCAGGTTAGAATGGAAACATGCGGCTCATGTTTGTTCATTGGTGATCTAAAAGACAATATAATCTGAGCTGCTGAAATTGACACTTTGAACCTTGTTTAGATGTCTCTTCATCTCATGTTTGTCTTTCTAGGATTTATTGGTTTCTCACATATATTTGTGAAGGCACCCACTGAACGTTGTTCTCGGCTCTCTCTTATAGTTCCTTGTTAGAATTAAGTTTTATGGTTTTGTAAAGCACTTAAACTCTGATGGTTTATCTTAACAATGCAGATCAAAGAGCTCCAGCCTCTTCAAAAGAAGTTCACAGATATGAAAGCACAGTTGGAGCTGAAAATGTATGACCTATCCTTATTTCTAAAAAGGGCTGAACAGAATGAGCATCACAAGGTTTCGTATCTCCATTTTGCATCTTCTTTTTTCCACACATCTCCATTTTCTATCTACACATTTAATAGTCTCTCTTCCTTCTGCCAATTGTATTTATAGCTTGGTGAAGCGGTGAAAAAACTGGAAGAAGAATTTGAAGAAATGAGATCCCAAATCAAAGAGAAGGAAGGTCGTTATAAAAGTTGTGCTGATACTGTCTCCACGCTAGAAACATCCATCAAAGATCATGATAAAAACAGAGAGGGAAGACTCAAAGACTTGGAGAAGAATATTAAAACTATCAAAGCTCGTATTCAAGCATCCTCAAAAGATCTGAAGGTACTCCAGATCAGTCAAAGACTTTGACTCTGCAACTGATCTTCTTCAATTCTGTTCGTGATCCTGGTTTATCCTGCTTTAAGTAAGTGGCTTCATAGCTTTTTCTCTATGGTTCTTCTTGCTCATAGGGTCATGAAAACGAGAGAGAGAGGCTTGTGATGGAGCAAGAAGCAGTGGTGCAGGAACAGTTATCCTTAGAGAGCCAGCTAACTTCATTGAGGACGCAAATTAGCACTCTGGCTTCAGATGTGGACAAACAACGAGCCAATGTACTACAATTGTTTCTCTTAATCTCTTTTAAATCTGAACAATATATAAATACGTGTGATTGTGAATGTGTTTCCCCTGCAGGTGGATGCCATACAGAAAAATCACGATCAGTCTCTCGCTGAGCTCAAGTTGATACATGCAAAGATGAAGGAATGTGATACGCAGATAAGTGGTTTAATCGCAGACCAGGAAACATTTATGCAGAGAGTTATTGACATGAAGCTTGAGAAAAAGAAGTTGGAAAACGAGGTATTTTCTTACGATTTTCTTCTTTTTCTGAAGTTGGTATCAGTTGAACACATGCATTATTCTTGTGTTTAATGATAGATGTCTTGGGTTTACTTAGTTGCTTTAACTTCTTGATGTTGAAATAGGACTTGATGTTTGGTGGAATAAAGGTGGATATAAGTATTCGACTGTAATAAAAAATTGAACTCTACTAGTTGTTAAGAAGTATATTAAGTATTTATTTACTGACTTTCTACATCTTAAGGAAATGCTCACTTGACATGGGCGAAATTTTTCCTCTGATTAGGTAACAAGGATGGAGATGGAGCAGAAGGATTGTTCTAAGAAGGTAGACAAACTTGTTGAGAAGCATACATGGATAACATCTGAGAAGCAGCTTTTTGGAAACGGAGGGACGGACTATGATTTCGAATCCCGCGATCCTTATAAAGCAAGAGAAGAACTTGAAAGGCTCCAGGCAGATCAATCAAAGTATGTTTCCGAGGATTCTCATAGAATTAATTTTGCAACCAATATAATCTTCACACTCATGCAATGCAATATAAATGGAATATGCTTTCCTTTTATTCTTTTTTCTTCCCTGTAACTAAGTGAGAAATCTCTGCTTATCTCTTTTCCTGCTATTTATTTCTCTTGTGAAGTCTTGAGAAAAGAGTGAACAAGAAGGTCATGGCTATGTTTGAGAAAGCAGAAGATGAATACAATGCTCTTATTTCAAAGAAAAATATAATTGAGGTTAGTTTTGCAGGGTCTGTGCGACAAATTTTAACAGCTTTACGCTCTTTAATTAACTGTGTGATTCTTTGTTTTTCTTAGACTGACAAATCCAAAATCAAGAAAGTGATCGAGGAGCTTGATGAGAAGAAAAAAGAAACACTGAAAGTTACATGGGTTAAAGTTAATCAGTGAGTTGCTTATAGAGTTTTCTTTTCTTGTTTAACCATGTTATTCGCTTCATATCGAGATCATTTTTGCGATATTTACACTTAGGATCCTTATCTTCAGGGATTTTGGTTCCATCTTTTCAACTCTACTACCTGGCACCATGGCAAAGCTAGAACCTCCAGAAGGCGGTAGTTTCCTTGATGGTCTTGAGGTCCGTGTTGCTTTTGGAAGTGTCTGGAAACAGTCTCTATCAGAACTAAGTGGAGGGCAAAGATCTCTTCTTGCACTATCTTTAATCCTGGCATTGCTTCTCTTCAAGCCAGCTCCTCTTTATATCTTAGATGAGGTACTTCTGGATTTTCCATTTCTATAAATCAGTTGACTATGGATTGTTTTGGCTTTCCAGTTTGAAATGTTCATGATCACATGACCTTTTCAAGTTTGATGACATTCTTAAAGGGGATAAGATAAATTCGTTTACTTTGGTTCATTAGGTTGATGCAGCTCTGGATCTTAGCCACACGCAGAACATAGGAAGAATGATCAAAGCTCATTTCCCGCATTCACAGGTCACACGATTTCTCTGTTTCTCTGATCTTGTAGTGAGTAGCTATTCCCATGATTCCGAAAATCAGAAAGCTTATGTGTTACATTTTTTATGATGTCTCTTTCAGTTCATCGTAGTTTCACTTAAAGAAGGAATGTTCAACAATGCTAATGTTCTCTTCCGAACAAAATTCGTGGACGGCGTTTCAACGGTCCAGAGGACAGTAACAAAACAGAGCAAATAGCCTGCTTGTGAGCTTAACAACACTAATGATGTCTACTCTTTTAGGTGTGTACTACTTGTGTCTGAAGGTTTGTAGCGATTTGGGGGTAGTGATTGTCTATATCTAGAGACCATATACCTTAAACTCTAGAGTTTTGTTGCAAATGTTTGAAGAGAGTGGGATCGTAGGTTATGATGTGTATCACTGTACCACATGAATATGTTTGAATTTAACGAGTAGCACAATCTTGATTAATTTAGTTCCTCTGTACATTGAAGATTTTTAAATTTGTTCAACTGCGCTACAACGACTCAACACAATTCATGCTCAAAAACCAAGAACTCTAAGACGCAACACACATAAAAAGACATGAAAGTAGCAGAAGATAGATAGATAGAGAGATATGAGATTCATATAAGTCTGTCTTTAATTCTCTAGCTGAGGGTTTGGACAATAGTGTTGTGCCATGGGTCAGACAAGTGCTGCAACAGATTCTCAAATGGTCCCTTTCCAGTCACATTGTGTTGAATCACAAACCCTAGGAATGCCAACATTGCCAACCTCCCTGCAACAACAACAAAAAGATATTTAGCCTTTTAACCCTGAACTATTTACTTTCTTGCGTAGAAAGATAACGGATTAACTTTCTCTAGGCTTACCGTTTGCGAGCTCTTTCTCCTTGGCCTCTTGTGTGGGAGCAAAGTTAAGCGGGTTAAAGATTCCTCCGGGGTAACCAACTTCATTTGGAGGCAAGCTGTATTGCTTGAAGATAGGGTCTTGGTTCACACTTCCTGGGTTCTTGATGTCTTGCCATCTTCTGATCTCAACGTAATGAAACAGGATGAATTCGATCACGAACAATGTCGACGACGATGCAAAATACTGTTCTTTCCCGGCATCGTACCACTCCGGAACGTTTATGATTCCTACAAACAGTTTTGACAATTTTTGTGTTCAGTTCTTGAAAAAGTGTTACAAACTGTTTTAGGTCATGTTAATGGTGACTCACCGATCTTAGTGAAAACTTCCGGCAAGAGCATGCCGGCGACTCCGAGCATGGCCCACCTTCCGTTGACCAGCTCTGCCTGGACGAACCATCTCAAGTTCTCTGGATCCTCTGCTAGTCCCAATGGGTCAAATCCATTGTCACCGGCAAGGCTGCAATATGTTTAAAAGTAACCATTAGCTGAACCGGTACCGGACAGATCCAATCAAACCTAATCTTCTCCAATTGGTCCGGTCATCTTAAACCAAAATTGACCATACACAATAACTAAATCGGTATCAAACAGATCAGGTCTAATCTAGCCGAACCAAATTGATTTACCTCACTTAACGAAATCGATTATCTTATTAGTTTGGTTGTGTTAAACCAAAGTTGATGTAGTTTGTAAAATTACCTGCCGTTGAGATAACCAGGCGATGCCAAACCGGGCAACCATTCTCCTTTCTTAGCTTCAACCTTGAACGACGCCGTTTTCGAGGATGAGCCGATAGATTTAAACGACAATTCTCGGTTCAATCTACCGGAAGAACCGGTGAGGAATCTTGGCTTCGAAGTACATGGTCGGAAAATCGAGGCCGAGGCTTGAGTAGTGACAGTCGCCATTTTCTCTACACCCGATCCCACTCAAGAACCCGGTACTTGAAGAGAATAGATTGGAATCAAAGAGATTGAAAAATGTGTTTGGAGATGATTGTGAAGAAATAGACTTTGGGGATTTGTAGTTTATTCGTTTTCTTCTGAGATTTTTTTGTTGCTGTGAGATGAGTTTGTGGCTGTGGTTTAATGTCTGAGTTTCCACCGTTGGATCAGATGACGTGCTTGATTAGACGGATGAGATGGGCTTGAGGGGAGATAAAGGCTTATCGGTTTATCTTGGTAGCGTATCTTACAGGATTTTTATGTTCTTTGAGATTGGTCGGAATAAGATAGTGTGGGGTCTACTGTTGTTCCACGTTTCACTAATTAGGATGAAGCTTATTATATTAGAGTGAGAATTCTCCACAGCCAATCAAGTGGAACTAAAATGGCAGAAAGGGAAACCAAAAATCCAAATCCGATTTTCTCAATCATCTTATATATATATATTTTTTTAACATTGCTTTATTAATCTATTGCAAACTATTTTTTTATATTGCAAACTATTCTCAATCATCTTATATAGATAGGGAAGTATTTTATTTTCTTTAGCATATATATGTTCTAAGAAATATGAAAGAACTATAGAAATGATAACTAAAGTAAAAACCAAATGAATGTGAATTCTCAAAGTTTCTGGTTGTAAAACATAAAAGAAAGTTGGAATTAGTATGATTTGGTTCTAATTTGGTTTACATTCTGATTTGTTGAAAACTACTCGTGACCTTAATCACTATTTACTCTTTGGATTCGCGGATGTGATCGAGACTTGCTTTAAACCAAACTTTTTGCAATTTTACAGGTTTACTATTGGGCCATTTGTTAGCCAACATCCAATTCTTCACAGCCCAATCACAAGCGGTCCTGGTTGATTTGGTAAATCGATGACGAAGAGTAAACCGGTGAAATAAAACCAGAGTTTGCATCGTTTACAACCTATTTTTGACCGTTATTAATTTGAATGATATGACAATTTAAAGGGGTTTTTTTTTTTGTTTTGGTTACATTTTAGATTAAGATTATTTCTTTTTTATAATATAGAACTAATAAGACAGCATGCAAAACAAACCACCACACCAAGTCATACATGTTGAATATTCGTTATTGTAATTACTCTAGCTCCTTGTTTAGTCAACTCGTATGGAATACTATTATTCCTCTTGTATTCTTATAACTTTCTTGTAAATTTACAGAACCATGAATAACATAAACATAAATAAGTTATTAGACGACGATAAAATAAGAAAAGGGAGTATATTAAACGAGTCATGCCATCAATTAGTAGTCACTAATATAATTTAATTATCGTTTCGGTGATCTCTTTCAAGAAAAACTCTTATCTACGAGCTTCACAAACTCATAAAAATCAATTTTCCCATCTCTATTCTCATCAAAAACCTTAATCATCTTCCTACACTCGGTCTTTGTACACTCATCGTATCCTAACAAACACAAAACATGTTTCAACTCATTTTCATCTATAAACCCATCTTGATTCTCATCAAACAATCTAAACGCCTTCTTCATAGTCTCCTTACCCATCAGCTCACTCTTTTCAAGCAAGTACTCTTCCCCTTCTCCTACCAAACGTTCGTATAAAGCCTCCGAGTCATCGATCATCGCCTTCACTTCTTCCACCGACATCTTGTTATCTACTTGAGTTTGGACGAAAGCTTTCTTTACGATCGGGAGCTCTTTCGTATTTTGCTTCTTGTTTCCCGTTGGGGCGAAGAGAATGTAGGCGTTAGAGAAGAAGATATGGAGAGGATAGGGAAAAGAGGAAGAGAAGTCTTGGATTATCATCATGAGGTTGAGAATGAACAAGAAGGTGGCAATGGTGAGAAGAGAGATTGGACTAAGAACAGATGAATCCTCCATATTAAACTGAATTTATGTGTGTGGAATACCATAAACAAAAATTTATAAAGGTTTTGTTCTTCTTCTCTCTCGCTTTGGTTTCAAAGAATGGATAACCTGTGTGTTGAGCATATCGTCGAGTTTTATAAGAGGTGCGTGCTAACAAATTCTAGTTAAGTAAATTTTTTAGGAAGACCAAAACAAAGCTTACTCATAAAGTCTGCGGAAGAAGTCTCTACGGAAATTGTTGAGAAGCTACCACAAATCTTGATAAGGGAATATGGAATTATTTTAAAAAATGCTTAAAAATTCACCGCAAATATATTTTCGTATATTGTATATCTAAAGAGAATAACTAGCAAACACCATCAATTAAAAACTATCCTAACTAAAATAACAATATCTATAATAGTAATCATTAATTTTACATCTTTCTTCGAAATGACGTTTTGAATTAGAATTTTCTCTAGTATATACATCTGATTTTTAATTTATTAATATTTCTTACTTTTGATGATTGAACAGAAAAGACGTTCTCAACTTCTCATCATAGTACCTAAGAAGAAACAAACAAAAAATTGAAACTAAATAGAGAAAATTGAGTGAGAGTATCTTTTCTTATCTTGGATTCCAGTTAATGGAAATTTCCATGCAATTTCCCGGTAACGTTATTCTTCAATTAATTATAATGTTCCTTTCACCGACCCCTTTGGATTGTTTCGCTATGTGGAAATATCGAGATTCTTCTTCTTGTTAATTCATTTTCCAACCCACTATCACTTTTTGGTTGAAAACATAATTATTCTTCTAGTTTAGTGTTAAGGAAGTCACGTTGTATTCTAAATTTTTATTTTAAGTCTAACCACGTTGTTAGTGTTAAGGAATTCACGTTGTATTCTTGTTTAAGTCTAACACGTTGTTACTTTTTTTTATATATAACGGAAACTCAAGCGAAATATCAATACTGGATATATATTGGTACTTGATAAATTGGAATACGGAAACAAAAGAATTTTGAAGATATGTGTAACCAAAAAATTTTGATTTTTTTTTATTGAAATGTAAAACCTATAGATATATCAATTTTTTGCCGAAAAAGTCATGTGAATTAAATTTAACATCTCAATAACAGGGACAAAGTTTCTTCCTGTCGATGTCTACATCTTATCTTTATAGATAGCAAATTACGAATATCTAAATTCAAACATCTTCAGTAAATAATAAACGAGCCCATGTCGACACATATATACATATTTTGTTTATGGGCCTAAGAGAGTAAGAAATGGATTGGCCTACGACAATCGTCTCAAGAAGAATCTGTAATCTTTTGATTTTCTTCGTCAAATTAAATCACAAAAACTCTTCTTTCGATTCGGATAACCAACAAGAAACCATCAGAGTACAACAGCCGGCGATGAAACCCGGCGGCGGCAAAGAGCAGCAGAGACGAAGAAACCGAGCCTTATCTTCTTCTCCACCAAAGACCCGACCCGGTGTCTCGTCCGGGTCACCCAACCGGATTTCCGGCGAATCCCGCGGTGGAAAGCTTAAAACTTCGGCCACTTTACTCGACCGAGAGGAGACGGGTCTTTTTTCCGGGCCGGGTTATGATGACCCGAATCCGGAGCCGAGGAGCTTCCCTTACAGCGTGAAGCAGCAATGCTGGGAAAAGGCGGAGAAGATTAAAGGGAGAGATCCTGAGCGTTGGCGGAGAGATCACTTAGGGAACATTGTGTTTAGGAAGCTCGTAGGTTGTCCTGGATGCTTGTGCCATGATTATGACCACATCGTTCCTTACTCCAAGGTCCTGTCTTTTTTCTTCTGGGTCGGTTACTACTCTCACTCTAGTCATTTAGAGTTTAGGATTGAGCTCAAACTTCATGAAACGTATACAGGTGATTTTGGTATAGGAACTTGATGGCTCTGTTCTGTGATTTCAGAAAAAAATTGATCCTTAGTCATTTCAACACAATTTTTGAAATGTGTTTGCTAATTTGGAATTTGAGGTTTCGAGTTTCAATGTTTCTGCTGTTTGCATTCTTGATTTGGCATCTGAGAGATAAGGGAAGTGATTTCTTTTCTTGTGCTCTCATGTTGGTGACAGAACGATGTCTAAAGTCAAAACACTTTGATGAACTCTATATAAGTCTTCTTGTATCTAATTTTTTTTGCCCGTTCTCATCAAAAGATATGATTGTTGGTAGGATAGATAATCCAAACAATAGAAAAGCTTATGAAACCTCTAGGAATGGAAAAAAAAGTTGTCTCTAAAAAGTTCAGGAACTCTGGAACTATTATTGTTATTGTCTCCTGCTTTCATTTTGATTGATCTGATTGTCATCATCTACATGTAACGTTAAGCAATTTAGTGCCTCATGCTTCTTCTAAAGTATCTGAAGAATCTATTTTCTAATGTTTATAGGGTGGCAAGAGCACTCTGGAAAACTGTCAGGTTCTGCAGGTATGCAGCTTACTCGTACGAGAAGTTTCAACTAGCTTATAATTACCGTTTAAGGGTTCTAAATTTGTTTCGTTTCTACGTTTGCAGGCAAAGGTAAATCGATCAAAGGGAAATAAAACAGATATTTCCAGAGCCGAGCTTATCCAGAGGAGTTCCTACTGCCGAGTTGCTGGTAATTTTTTGCAGTATCCTTCAGTCTCTTGTATAAAGAAAGTATAGCTAAGTTTTGATCCTAAACTGTTCGTTACAAATAAAACTGTGTAGGCCGTGATATGGACCTCATTGAGCTAACAGCTTACGGAAATGTACAACGCGCGACTGAGTCCAGTGGATGCAGGATTCAGTGATCTGTTTTCGATTCCTCTTCCGTGCTTTGCTCGGAAGATCTATTCATGAAATTGAAAATGAAGAGTTTCTTTCTTCATCTTCTTACTACGACAAGAATCTGTAAATTTTGTCAGTTCTTTATCTGAGTTACGTGTCTTTAATATATCTATTCTGTTTTAGTTCTTCTCTATTGTATTTTCACTTAGAAAATGTCTTCTACTTGTAATTTTTTTAACGTAAATATTGCTACATCCATTATTCCAATATTTAAATGAAAAATTTCAAAGTAGTTTTGTTTCTTCATGGTTATTTTTCTTCTAGAAAACATACCTTTTTCACTCTGTCCTGTGGAGTTGAGTTTCACACATTAGTTTAGGCAAGTAAACGCGTAATCCTGTATTAACCCTTGTCTGCGTGTTTGAAATGTTTTTTTTTTTTGAACATTTGTGTTTGAAATGTTGTTCAAGTAAATTATTATTTCTTCTGACTGGTGTAGGCACAATATAAGGAAGCTGTTTATTCACTCGCTGGCAGTGATGGTGATAAAGGTTTTGCTTAATGAGCCTAGTTTTAAATTAACTTTTAGTTAATGTGTTATTTATAATATATGCCATTAAATTTTTATAGATTCATTAAGGGTAATTTAGTATTATCATTAAATTGTTAATAAATACATTAACTTAAATTAAATTATATCAGTTTGTTAACAGATAATATCAATTAATCATATCTAATATTAATAAAATTCAAATTAATTTAATTTTAAAATTATTTTAAAATCTTTCATAATATCTTAACATAACTACCATATATATATGACATGAATAACTAATATAATTATATATATTATATGATAAATTAAATATATATTATATTATAATCAATTTCTTCTCTATAATATTAAAAGAAAAGCATTACATTAAAAATTTTAAAAATTATTATGGTATTTACGAAATGTGACAATTTATTGTCAATGATGAATATATAATCATTATTTTTTGGTTACATATATACATACTATGAAAAAAAAATTATATAAATAATTTAGATTTTCTGGTTTGTTAATGATTTTTTTGCGGGAAATTATGGGCTTGCGGATTTGACAAACAAAATTTTGTAGGTTTTATGGGTTTTATTAATTTTAGCGGGTTTTATAAATTTTAGCGGAAAAATATAATTTTCCGAGAAAATGCCGGTTTGACAACAAATGTGCTTTTCTAGATTTAGCAGAAACACATAATTTTTGAAATTTGGTTGTAAATCATGATTTTAGAGATTTTACGGGTTTATTAGAAAATACGGGTTTGCGAAATACGAATAATGCAATTTTGCAGATTTTATGAATTTTACAGGTTTTAGCAAAAAAAAATGCGGGTTTGTGAGTTTGGCAGAAACACATGAGTTTAGAAATTTGGTTGTAAAACACAATTTTATAGATTTTATAAAATTATGGAAAAACATAGGTTTTTGTGGTATATGACATGAATAACTAATATAATTATATATATTATATGATAAATTAAATATATATTATATTATAATCATTTTTTTCTCTATAGTATTAAAAGAAAAGCATTACATTAAAAATTTTAAAAATTATTATGGTATTTATGAAATGTGACAACATTATTTTTTGGTTACATATATACATACTATAAAAAAAATTATGTAAATAATTTAGTTTTTCTGGTTTGTTAATGATTTTTTTGCAGGAAATTATGAGTTTGCGGATTTGACAAACACAATTTTGTAGATTTTACGGGTTTTATAAATTTTAGCGGAAAATATATAGTTTTCCAAGAAAATGCCGGTTTGACAACAAATGTGCTTTTGTAGATTTAGCATAAACACATAATTTTTAAAATTTGGTCGTAAATCACGATTTTGCAGATTTTACGGATTAATGGAAAAATACGTGTTTGTGAAATAGGAATAACGCAATTTTGCGGATTTTATGGATTTTACAGGTTTTAGCGAGAAAATACGGGTTTGTGAGTTTGGCAGAAACACATGAGTTTAGAAATTTGGTCGTAAAACACAATTTTATAGATTTTATAAAATTATGGAAAAACACGGGTGTTTTGTGGTTTTGGCGGGAAATGTGATTTTGCGGATTTTACGAGGTTTACATATTTTTTCAGGTTTTATAGGTTTTGACGGAAAATATGGTTTTATGAATTTTATTGAAAATAAAGGTCTACGGGTTTGATGATAAAATGCAATTTTGCAAGTTTGACAAAAACTACTTAATTTTAGAAATTTAGCCATAGAATACTATTTTATGATGTTGAGGAAAGCATAATTTTTGGTTTTGTTAAAAAAATATGAATTTACAGTTTTGGCAGAAAAAACAGTTTAATGGAAAATGCTATTTTTACAGTTTCTACCAAAATTTTTGGTTTTGGTACAACAACATGATTTTACGATTTTGCAGGAAAATGCGACTTTTTATTTCGATAATAAAAATAGTTTTGACAAAAAAAAACTTGATTTTGTTGTTTAAATTAAATGATATTTTTATCTGTTAATTTTTGAGATTCAAATGTTGCATCAAATCTCTATTTTTCGCATTTTAAATATCCAATTTTTGAGATATTATAGAATTTGTATTCAGAAAAAAATATTCATGTACTGATTTAAAAATATTTTAAAAAACAATATTTGAGAGCATTTGCATCCAAATAAGTATCTGGAGGCAAAAACAAACAAAGCCTAAGAATCCTCTACCTATTAATTGAGAATGTAGTTTAATGAAAAATGCTGATTTGTTTTAATCTGATTGGTTAAAATCATTTGTCTACCCTATTTAAATGTGACATAGAAATGATGATGTGTAATGATGATGTAATTGTAACATGACATTTACTAACACATGTGGTTGATGACATGGCAAAAATTTTTTTTATGATATTTTCATAAATAAAAAAATTAATTAGATAACAAAATTTAATTTACTAATAACTAAATCTGGAATAATTCGCCGGATGCACTACGAATGGCCTGATATTATTATTCGTCTATATGGATAATAGTAGATGAATTTTGGGCTGAACGTTATTATTTTAATACATATATATATTATAATACTGTAGATAATACTATATTATATACTTATAAAATTTACTATAGCTCTGTCGTAGACCACTGTAACTTTCCATATGTATACATATCTACATATATATTATAATACTATATTCATATGGAATACATGCACATATGTTTTCACATAGTTTAGTTAGAAAAATTATAATAACAAAATAAGATATTATTGTGATCTTCTGTAGAACATTCAAAATTTAAAATTAGTTTAGTTTAAAATAATAACAAATATAAATATACGATTTTGATTTAATAATTCTCTACTTTATTTTTCTTAACAAACGTTAAATATCCTAAAAAATCAACGTGCATCTAATGAAAAACCAAAATTATAATCCTCTACATTATTAAAAAAGTTTAATGTCCATTTAATAAAATCCAAAAGATCCATATAAAATCATGTTCATCCCAAATAACTATGTAATAAAAAAAATTACATACTCGGGTCCTTATATAAAAAAACATCAAAATATACATGAGTATCAAACAAATCAAACCCTAACTCAAAGTGCGGACATAACAATTCTACCAATCCATTTACCTAAATTGAATATGGCTAAAATGAAACTTGAAGGTTGGATAGACTCCAATCATGAGTGTAATGAAGCAAGGTTTTATCGCTACACTGAATTCCAAACAAATGGATTTGGCATCAAAAAATTAAGAAGTGGCTCTCTCGTCTGCGCAACAGAAAAAATAATGTTTCCTACGATATCAGCGTTCCCGAAGTTTTAAAATAATATAGTGAGCTTTTCTGTTGCTAAATGTTCAAAGAGTACCAGTATGCTTCAAAGATATCAGGACAGTAAACGGAGTTTTATATATAACATTTGCTGAAACATGTCTTGCAATAGAGTTAGTTGTTTAAGTGGAGATGGTCTTGCAATTATTTGTAGAGTCCACTTGATAAAATTATAAGTAGAAAAATCACACAGATGAGTAGATCGAGACCAACAATGAGGAAATTCTTGAAGAAATAATGCTTTAATTGAAGAAGATTATAGGAAGACAAAGAAAATGAAAAATGTTTGTTCAAATAAAAAAAGACGGAGAAGATAAAATTTGCAGGCTAATCCGCAAATCTGAAGAAGGTAACCAACTATCTACGGGTTTGACCCATTTGACCTTTTAACATAGCGGGTCAGGTTTTACAAAACCTGTTCATTGAAAAATAATTTTTGTGTTTTCTAAATTTAATTACTCAAAATATAAATGACCTTTTTATTATAACAAAATGTTTAGTTAAAATTAGATCATATTTTACTATTAAATTTAAAGTCTTATAATTCAAAACACTAACCTTGAGTTTCATAAACTACAAAAAAAAAAACTAAGATGGATTTAAATATTGTATCTAGATAATTACATTTTTAAAATTGTTCATGCCCGCACATGCGTGCGGACCAATATCCTAGTCTTAATTACAAACAAATAAAATCTCTCTTGCATTATAAAACATAATATTTTAAAATATTTGTTACAAAACTTAACAAAAAAAATTCGCTAATTAAATTTTTTTTTTTTTATAAAATCAAGTCTAAATAATTTTAAGAACATAAAACCATAATGTTAAAATAGTTTATAAAATCTAATAAAAAAATTCTGTTTGGACCACAATTTTAGATTCAATAATATAAGCTAATTTTTCTTTTGAACAAAAGTTTACTATAAACCGATTTTTGCTATGGCCTAAAAATATTTTATAAAAAGAAATGCGCGGGTCCAAAATCTAGTTCATACATTGAAAGACCTAGACAACATAGTTGCTAAAGACACTTCCTAGCAACATGTTCTTAAAGATTAGGGATACTAAAATAAAGGTTTTCCCGACGGTTCAGCCTTTTAGTAGTTAAGCTCGTTCCTGTAAAGCAACAACAAAAACCCCCAACTATATGTTATATTAGTTTTGTGTTTCATAAAATGCAATATTGGTTGGAAAACATGAAAAACATAATTTGCGGGTTTGTAAGCAATATCGGTTTTGCAGATTTGGCAGGATAACACAACTTCACAAGTTTGCTGAGAAATAGCTGGTTTTTTGTTTTTGGTTGGAGAATACGATTTTGCAATTTTGGTTGGAAAATACCATTTTGTGGTTTTGGTTGAAAAAATCAGGTTTGTGATTTTGGTAAGAAAACACGGATTTGCTGTTTTTGTTGAAAAATACGGTTTTTGTGAGAAAACTTGATTTTGTGATTTTGGTGAAAAAAAATAGTTTTGTGGTTTAGACGAGAAAATAAGATTTTGTAATTTTGGCGAGAAAACCCGGCTTTGGTAGAAAAACACGGTTTCGTGGTGAAAGCTTCTTCGATAACTTGTCCAATGCGATATGCAACATAGTCGCCATTCTCAACTTCTCCAAGTATCCTCAAAGCCGCCTCCGGACTCACCACCATAACCATCCCAATTCCCATATTAAACGTCATTCTCATCTCAGTGTCTTCTATACTTCCACACTATATAATAATGAAAAAAAGAAGAAGTTATGATAAATATTTTATTATAATTTATATAGATATCAATGTATAAAGAAATTAACTAGATCAAAAAATTAACTTGGAATTAGAATTTTGTAATCAAAATTTTAAATTTATAAGCATGATCATTTTATAGAAGCTATATTGTATAACCATTGGTTTTGTTAATGTTATCTAAGATTCTCTAGTAGTTACCTTTTGGATCCATTTGAACAAAGGTGGAAGTTCCAAGCATCGGTGTGAATAACAACACTCAAACCATCCGGTAAGACTTGGGGAATGCTATCGGTTAAACCTCCTCTTGTTATATGAGCTAACCCCTTCACTCCTCCTTTGTCGATAAAGTCAAGTACCTGTGAAAATGTGAATATAGTTATGTGATTGGTACAACAAATGGGATAATGTAAAAAAAATTCTCTGACTAAAAAACAAAAACCTGTTTCACATAAATGACAGTAGGTGCCATTAGAGCTTCACCAAGGGAAATTGTTCCACCAGGAAGATGATCTTTAAGCGACAACCCACTTTGAGCCAATACCCTGAAAAATGATTCTCATGTAAAAAAATAATTTAACTAACATTAACCTAAGAGATAATCACTAACAACAACATACCTTCTTGCTAAAGCAAAACCATTGCAATGAAGGCCGCTTGAAGGAAGACCAATAAGAACATCTCCAGCTACAATGTTTTTCCCGTCTATAAGAGAATCTTTCTTCACTTTTCCTAGTGCACACCCCCAAGAGATTGTATTCTCCCTCAGCATAAACGTAGGGCAGCTATGCTTCAGTCTAAAACCAACCAAAAATTAAAAAGAAAACTTACTAACTTAATTTGTCAAGAGCCTTGGAATTGGGTATGACTTGTAAGAAATACCTTTCCTTCTTTGAGTTCACAGCCGGATTCATGACAACCATCAACAACCCCTTTAATGACCTACAAAGCAAAAGCATAATGTTTGTTCTTCAACATCTCAATATCAAGGAGATGAAGAAGCAATGAATCATCAATGATATATACCTTTTCTGCAAGGTCTACATCGAGAGGAGTAGTAACGAAAAGGAAACCCACAGGCTTTGCACCATAAGCAACAATATCATTCACAATCTTAGCAACCTGAAACCAAAAAAGTAAAAGTAAAAACCATGAGTGTGTTTGGGGGAGTCACGAAAAATAAAATAATGCACACAACAAAAAGTCCCATATTTGTTACCAAGTCGATTCCAATGGTTTCATGGGATCCCACCTCAAATGCCAACTTAAGTTTAGGCACTACAGCATCCATTTTAATTACTTCAAAAGAACCATCACTATCACCTTCTTGAAAAAAAAAACAAGAAAAAAAAAGCAATACTCATTAGAACGAACACCAGAAAACTCTCAGCATTCAGTTGAATTTTGCAGTTTTTTTTAATATAATATATACCTATTAAAATGCAATCACTGGATTCGCCTATCTTAGGATCCCTCTTAATGATTCTTCTAATGAGTTCAGTCCTAGATTCTTTGTAAGTGAAACCATCATCTTTCTTCGACATTGATAAAACACAAGACGCACTTCTTCTTATTCTCGTCATCTGAGTAAACACGACGATCGACAAAGGTATCAGTAACGATGCAATGTATCAAGGAGATACAATCATATCAATGATTGATATGTCAAAGAGTTATTTATGTAAAGCGATATCCGATTCTTTACGTTCTACCATTGTATATATAGTTGTAATCTCTGTTTCATGAATGAGAAGAACGATACTCTTATATGGTATCAGAGCCGCCGATCACAAAAACCTAAATTTCTTTTTCTTTTCTAAACACTTTATACTATCATGTCAACCTCTGAAAACACTTCCTCCCCGATTCTCACAGACACGATTTCCTCAACCAACAACTTACTTACGGTAAACATGTCAGGAGTGACAAAACTTACCTCTTCCAACCACCTTATATGGAGTCTTTAGATCCATGCACTGTTGGATGGATATGATCTCTTCCACCACCTTGATGGCTCCGTTGAAGTCCCGTCTCCGACAGTAACGCAAGGCGCAGAGATCAGCATCAACCCTGCATTCACACTATGGAAACGTCAAGATCGACTGATCTTCAGTTCACTAATCGGTGCTATCTCACCCACAATTCAGCCTTTGGTGTCTCGAGCAACCATGGCATCTGAAGTTTGGACATCTCTGCAGTCTCTCCTCCGATGAGGCCATACGTACAACCAGATTGCTTACAACCATCAACAATCCCTTTAATGACCTACAAACAAACAAACAACGAGCTGAGCACACAATGTTTGCAATTTCAACAATTAACCCCTAACGCAAGAAAGATCAAAGATGAGTGAATGAATATGATGATATACCTTTTCTGCAAGGTCTACATCGAGATCACTAGTACCATAGTAATCAAGGAATCCCAGAGGCTTCGCACCACAAGTAACAATATCATTCACACTCATTGCGACCTGAAAGTGAAAACCACCAAAAAGTAAAAAAGTAAAACCATGAGTGATCGAGTGTGTTTGTTTGGGGGGGGAGTAAGAAAAACAAAAGTCACATATATGATTTACCAAGTCGATTCCAATGGTTTCATGAATTCCGGTCTCAAATGCCAACTTAAGTTTAGTCCCTACACCATCCATACCTAATACGACTAATGTATCACCTGCTCAAACAAAACAAGACAAAACTCTCAACATTCAGGTGAATTTTTCTAGTTTTTTTTTGTATAAATGTACCTATTGGAATGCCACCACTGAATCCGCCGATCATGGGAGCCATCTTTGAGATTCTTGTAATGAGCTCAGTCCCAGCATCGATATCCACACCGGAATCTTTGTAAGTGAAGCCATCGTCTTTCTTCGACATCGATAAAACACAAGATAACCTTCTTGTTGTTCTCGTCGTCTGAGGAAACACGACGGTCGACAAAGGTCTCCGTGACGATGCTACGGAGGAGAAACGGTTTCGGTTGACGGAATTGGAGGTGAAGGCAGTGTCAAGGGACGAAAAAGAAGTCTTCATAATCCTAATACCCCCGTTAACTTTTTGATGGCCATGGCAATGAGTGTGGCTTTGATGTCCAGAGAGAGTGAGAGAAGCAAGAGCGCTGATAAGAAAGGAGGCTGATAGAAGGCTTTAAAACCCTAATACCCCCGTTAACTTTTTATATTTAGTTACTAGGGGTTACGGGTATTTTTATCTGCAAGTTTTTACTATCTTTGTAGGTGGAGAGTAATGTACATAAATAATTGAACAAAGTAAAGTTTTTAATTTTATTTTTGGAAATATATTTTAGGCCAAAAAATAATATTGATTTAATTATATTTAAGATCTAAATATAAGATTGATGTTTGATTTTTGAGTTGGCATTTTCTTTCTTCCGGTTAAGAATCAAATTCAAAAGATCTTTTAATCAACACAGCAAATAATACTAAAGTCTCTCCATGGCTTGACACCTCAGCTTTTTGAAGTTTTATAAACATGACACCTCAGCAAAAATAATCACCAATCAAAACATTTTATTAATATATCTCATCTACTTATTTTAATTTTTAAACTTAAACTCATTAAAAACCTAAATATTTTTTCTATTAATTTTTGTTTTATTTTTTTATCAAACCGAAGCTCAAATAATTAATAACAGCAAATAAAAAAACCAGTATTTTATTTTATATCAAAGTCAAATTCAAATAATAAATAAAAATAAATAAAACAATTTAATCATTGTTTTCTTTTTTTGCCAAAACTAAATCCAAATAATAAATAACAACAAATAAATAATAATAAAAATTCAAGCTATTAGTTTGTTTGACATAGACGTATATGATAGACGTATATGATTGAAAAAGTGTAGGATTAGCATCAACTATGCTTCCATGACAATAATGCAAAAAGCCTTATGTTATAAGAAGTTCACACATCAGCAAAAATTTGAACCGATAAAAACATAATAATTTCTTAGTTTTCGCGGGAAAATACAATTTCACTGGAGATAATGGTTTTCGCGGAAAATTGTAGTTTTTTTTTTTGTAGGAAATCGTGATTCTGGGTTTGAATAGAAGATGATTTTTTTTTGTTTAGGCAGGAATAGACGATTTCTCAGTTTTCGCAGGAAAAAAAAAAATTTCGATTTTGGCGGGAAAATACAATTTTTTTTGGTTTTTGCAGGAAGATTAATTTTTTTGTTTTTTTTTGTGAAAAACGTAATTTCTCGGCTTTGGTGGAAAAACACAAGTTCTCGCGGGAAAATGAAATTTTAGGTTTTAGGTTCGACGAGAAAATAATTTTTTTGAGTGATTTCTCAGTTTAATAGAAAAATGAAGTTTTTTTGTTTTGACGGAAAATGCGATTTCTCGATTTTTTGTAAGAAGATGAAATTTTTTTGTGCTAAATTTCCAAGTTAAAGTATGTTTACAGTTACCAAAATTTAAATATTTAACTTTAACTAAAATGATATTTTAAGAGTTCAAACATAATTTTCTATTTAGTTCTAAAGCAATAACAATTGTTTTGATATGAACGTTATTTATTATAGTTCGGTAGTTTTAGAAACATATGTTTATAATAAAATAAATAATAAATTTTTTAATTCAAAATAATCATATTAATTAATAAATCTTTTTTAAATGACATTTTGCTTTATATAATTACAAAGGAGGATCAAGTGGCAATTTATTGGAGAAAATAGATTACATTTATCATTAGCATGAAGGTACTAAAAATGTATTGCTTTATTTTTATTTATATTATTCCTATATATACATTTATAATTAGTTAGCTAACTAAATTTAATAGCAAATTATAATTTTAAAAAATAAAAAAATAAATAAAGATATATAATATTTATTCAGATTTAAAATATATAAATACATAACTTCATTTATATTATAAAAATAATTTTATTACACTAAAAATATATAAAAAATTTAGAAAAAATATCCCGCAGCATAGCGCGGATAAATACCTAGTAGTTTTATTTGTTTAGTTTTTCTTTCATTTTGTATATAAGGACTATACATAAACTCATAAATAAATGGTAGGTATATTTTATGTGTTTTATTTTTAAAATATTAATAGATACGTATGTTTTAAATGGTCCAGCCATAAATTATTCATTTTGACTATTTGTAGCATAACAATATGAGTTCAAATTGTATGGTAGTTTTCATGTGTTCTGACATGGATTAAAAACTGCTTAAACAATTAAAACTAAAAATATGGACTAAAACATAACAGTCAGACGACTTCATTAATTTGAAAAGACAACATATTATGGTATTCGTAGGCAACATATAGAAGCTATTCGCAATGCAGACAGCTTTGCTAACTCATGAGTTACAATATATTACAGTCTAAAAAATTGGTGTAATCCAATTGTGACTACAAAGATTATATCAACAGCCCGTTCAATCAATTGGAAAGGTTGAGTTATCCTCTTTATATTTGCGCGTATAACTGATTCAAGCAGTTGAATGATCATCATGGAAATGACTAAAACTTTGCAAACCTGCATGAAGCCATATGTAAGAGCCAAAAACGGAGACAAACTATCAAGAAGACTGAATAAGAGCTCTCTGACAAAGATCCAACTCGTTATGAATTGATGACCGAAGAACAAAGGTACCTATCAGAAAGCAAAGTTGAAAGAGTTTTATGAATCTCTGACACTATCAGGTAATATCTAATATTCATCAGATTAACAAAGTTAAAGATGAAAGAATGTATCAAACACACACCCACACACACACACACAAAAATGTATCAAACATAAGAATGATATATGAATAAAGTTTATATGTGTATTAATGCTTTTCTCGCAATACTATTTAACCAGAATGAGAATCTTAACACACCTCATTTCATGAATGCATTGGTTTTTATTTTTTACAGAAGTTCCACGAGCAACTCTCCCAATGGTCTCTCCAACATAAGATCCACCACACTACCCTTGAAATGATTCACACCCTTACGTAAGTTGGACCAAAGACGTATCATCAAACTACAGTATAAATAAGTAAAAAACAACATAGTATGTTAGAGAAGAAAGAATGGACGTTGTTAGTTGCACTAAGATGACAGCATTTAAAATTGGAAATTGCATCAATATTTTAACCTGTCACTATAATAATGAAAATCCAGGGAGTCTTTATACATATAGTGTAAAAATACATCTCCAAACTTTCAATCACCTTACAAAAAGTCTAAACAGCTGGATCACCTTGCCGAAAGTGTAGACAGCTGGATCGTGAATAAACTCATAGGATATGGAACTAAAATACTACATTATGAACCTATTTGTTCCCCCATATTTCCATTTTACTCATCGTTATGGCTGTTCCTTTCTATGCGTAAAAAGCCTTATGCAACTGATCATTTCTGAGCGCTCAATTCCCCAGCAAGGATACATCTCATCTTGCCAGGCTTTTTCTCAGCTCATTTTGTACGGTTCGAATCATAGAGTCAACAACAAAGCGAAGAAAGAAGAACATATATATAGTCAAAAGTCAGTGAAGTTACATTACCCTACCTCCGTTTGTTTTTCCTATTGATTTGAAGCTTTAATTAATGACTCTTTGTCTGGCCTCTTATTGTACTAAGTAAAACAAAATTATTTCTTGATAAAGTATATTAAACCGCACTCATAGAACTGCTCTTTGGTTGTAGTAACATGAGTGAAGTCTACCAGAGTATTTATAGTTTCTCTTCTTTGTTCTTCGAATGTATTGGTCTGGAAAAAAAATCAAAGGTGAAAGCATCAAATATTACTTTTTAATGGAACTTCAAAGTTGTAAACTAAATCAATTAAGATGATTAGACAATGCAGACAAATCTTTTCAGACAGCATCTAAATTAATATGGTTTATAGAATGCACCTTCAAGCAAAAGAGCCATGAAACATCACACAATCTATATACAAAAGTGTGATCACCACACCATCAAAGGGTGATCGTTGATTTAGAGAGCTGGAAGATAAAGACCGACCAGTTTGACATGAACAAACAACACACATATATCATCCATATTCACAATCATTTAATCTTTAGAACTCTATCAATTCACTCAAAATTTTGTGGTAATATATAATTCAGATGGGGATTAGTAAATCAGATATTTGGCTTTCAGCGAGTTAGATCTATTCGATTAGCTTCCATTGTACTTCAAACCTGTCATCGCTCTCTTAGTAAGATTGATCTGACATTATGATATCAGTATATATCATGGTGTCACTTAAAATCAATCTCTAGAAGCAAATAACTAAAGAAAGCAAATGGCCTTTTCACTAAAGCATGTTTTACCTGTTGTTGATTTATGTCGTGTTGAACGCATAGACTCTGGGAGCAGTTTATCGTTGCTCTGTTTTGAAAACCCGAATTTCTTCTTTGTCCATAAGTGCTCTGCAGAAAGTAAAATGTCATTTTAGAAAGAAAAAATAAAGTAAATTTAAATTTAGGTAGCGGATGAATCTTCTAGGCGATGACAGGAGATGATGAAGGTACGATGAAAGGTCCGTCACGGAATCAAGCGTGGGAAAAACATTGTTTTCCTTTTGCTGGATGTGATTTATAGCGATGATCGAAAGTAAAGAAAGGAAGAGTAAAAGATTGATGGGTTAAATTTAAGATGGGTGTTGATGTTATCAAGAATTAGTGATTAAATGGATGGAATGTAGAACGGTTGGACTTTCAGGAAGTTATATCATATGGCAAACTGGGAGGCATTGTGCTTTGGGCGGAGGATTGTTGTCGTAGCTTAGGGTTGCAGTTTCTGTAACTCATCTGATGTAGCATCATTTTAGGCAAAGTTTTTTTGCTGATGTGGACACTCTCTAGAGTCCCAAACAAGTACTTTCATTTAGTATAGATTATTTATTTTTATTTTTTAGGATTTGAATACGTAAGAGATTTTAATTACCGCCACTATTCATCTTCATGTCAAGGAACACCTGTATTCTTATAGTGCCAAGGAAAAGGAAACAACGATAATTTCTTTTTATTAAATCATGATAAAAATTACAAGATTTTTTGTATTTAAAAGTTTGCGTTTTCCATATGCCTGTATTCACATCAAAGATAGGATTGTTGGTACGTAGGATTTCACATTTATCCTTTGAATCTAGGGTGAAAGAATTGCAGTTTCGGGCTATCACATGTAAGTTATAACCAACAATAGAAAAAATTATAAAACCTCGAGGAATGGAAAAATAATGTCTTAAAGAATCACAAAGCTTTGGAAATCTCGAACCATTATTGTTTTGTTATGTCTCCTTGCTTTCATTTTGATGGGAAAACGGCCAATTAGTACCCGCACTACTTCTAGTGTAGCGATTTAATACTTCTATTATTTTAGTGTGTGTTTTAGTACCCGCATTCAATAAATTTTGAAAATACATACCTGCACTCGGCCGATACATATCTTGACCAAATCCCGTTAGTCAACGTTAGAACATCCGTGAATAGTGATGACTCGGACCAAACTAACCACGCTAACTCGACGGGAACAATGATGATTTGGACCAGATGATTTTTTTTTATGTTTCTCAAAAAACCAAAACGACGTCGTTTTGCAAACAAGAAACATACTCTTCTTCTTCGAAGAGCTCTGAATAAGAACAATTGATTTGGGGAAGAACTGAATTAGGGTTGAAATAGAAGAGAAGACAATGGCGAGTTCATCCAATGCATCATCGGGATCTTCAGGTATGTTTATATTGTAGAAATGACTTGTAGACGCGGATTATTGAAAATATTCATACTTTTAGTCAAAAATCGTGAATTGAAAATCGATGGGATTATTTCTAGGGATTGGTGGAAGTTGGAGCCGTGGTGTTCCTTTAGGGTCTAGAGGCATGCCCAATGCTTGTAGGTGTGGAGAATCATCTATGATAAGAACATCAGGGACTGTAAAAAATCCAGGGAGATTTTTTTTTGCTGCCCACATCGATCCGAAAATGTAAGCATTTTAGATATGCTTAGTAGTATCTAAACTAGTAGACAGTGCCAAGAACATTAACTGATTAACGTTTTATGTTATGTAAGGACAAATTCCATTTGTTTAAGTGGGTTGATGAATCAATTGTGGAAGAGGTTGAAGAGTTGAAGAAAACGATTGTGAAGTTTGAAGTTGAGAGAAGAACTGGCGAAGAAATACTAAATGGTCTTGAGAAAGAGATAGAAGACAGGAGAAGCATTGTTCATGGGATTGAAAAGGAGATTGGAGCAATGAAAAACGTGGTTGAAGGGTGTGAGAAAGGCGTTAAGGAAACTGTCAGAGAGATCCATTTCTTGAAGAATATGGTCATGTCCGGAGTTGTTGTGATTGCTTTAGCGTACTGGTTCTGGGCGTAGATCTTTGTTGGTGAGTGTTTGATGTAAGATGATGGGTTTTAGGTGGTCTCTCGGTTAGTTGAATGTCGATGGTTGGTTCTTGTTGATGAATTTTCGTTGCTTGTTGTTGATTTAAGATGACATTTTGTTGCTTCTTATGCTGGATTGTAGTTGCTTCTTGTGATGTAATATGACAATTTGTTGCTTCTTTTTAATGTATGATAATGGATTTTAGTTGCTTCTTGTTGAATATTTTGGAATGATATATGTTAGTTTTGTGTTTTGAGAAGCAATGACTATTGATGAAATGTGATTGAACCAATGACTCCTAATAAAATCACAAATGTTTGACAACATCAATAATCTAAAATATCAAAATAAGTAGTCCAAAAAACAGATTGAATAGCCGAAATAAGCAGTCAAAGATGCCAAAAACAAGCAGTCCAAAACTTCAAAACACTTTCTCCATCTTCTGACGCCAAAAACCAGCAGTCCAAAACTCCAAAAAACATTCTCTATCTTCTCCACTCTTGGTTTTGTAAGCTAAACCTGCAAAACCCAAAATCAACATCAATTTTACAACAACAACAGCAACACTTAAATGCATCAATTTCACAATAACAGCAACAATTATATGCAATAAAATCCGAAACCAACACCTATCACAATGCAAGACAAAATCCAAATTCTTAGAAAGTACTTACTCACCTCATCATTAAGGCTATTCTTGAGTTGATGTCTGTGTTGGTTGAGTAGAAATCGGCCCATCATCAACTGTCATCGTCTCAGCCTATGATGTCTCTATTAGCTTCTTTGACCTAGGCTTTGATGGGACTCCAATATTTGGACATTTAGTTACATTATGTCCAGCCATACTACATCGGGAGCAATGCATTGTGCGCCCATGTTGAGTCACCTTTTTTCCTTTCTTTGGTGACTCATTAACACCTTTGATCCGCTTCTCTGGACCTCTTTTCCTTCCCTTATGTACATCTCTTTCTGGTGTTTCTAGTCTTGTTTCTCCACATGTTTTCCAGAACTTAATGTCATTGACAGGTTCAATGGAATCAATATATTGCGCCTGCCACTTAGTGGTCAAATACCAATCTGAAACTAAGTCTTCTATCTTGTATGTCTTCTTATTGTCAAAGACAACACACAGCACATGGCGACACGGTATCCCTGTCAAATCCCATATCCTATACTTACATGTCCTCTCTTTCATATTCACCGTGTAGCTTTCACCCCTCTCCGCAACTTCAAAGATGCCTGAGCGTCCAGGGACTGTCCTGAGATGTTTAACTTCTTTATCCTCTTCAGCAATCATCAAACCAACTTTCAGACTATGTTTGCCAATCATCTTACTAGTTTTTTTCCTCCTTAGGTCAATCCTCACCATCGCTTGTCTTCTCATTGTCTCCAAACTCTGAATTAATGGCATTGAACGCTCCTTATCAATCGCCTTGTTGTATGACTCTGAAAAATTATTCAGAGCATCTTTGCAGCAGGACGTTGTCTTGAAGAATGCTCGGCT